CTTTGCATTGTTGAATTTACTTCATTTTTGCTTTTTATGACATTACCTGGTGACCTAAAGTTTTATACTCTCTTCTGTTTTCGTTGAATCAATTCTATAGTTCTCATGATTTCTCATGAATGCTTGGTTCAGCATCATTCAGATTTTTAGTTTATAACAGAACATATATTGTTTAAATTCTCCCAATAAGTCCTGCTTAATTGCAGTTGTTTTATTTTTTAAAGATTTATTTATTTTTCTTGGAAAGGCAGATTTACAGAGAGAAGGAGAGACAAAGAGAAAGATCTGCCACACACTGATTCACTCCCCAAGGAGCAGCAATGGCCAGAGCTGAGCTGATCCGAAGCCAGAAGCTTCTGTTGGGTCTTTCATGTGGGTGCAGGGTTTCAAGGCCTTTGGCTATTCTCTACTGCCTTCCCAGGCCACAACCAGGGAGCTGGATGAGAAACGGAGCAGCTGGAACATAAAGTGGAGTCCATGTGGGATCTTGACAATTGCAAGGCGAGGATTTAGCCATTAGGCTATTGTGCTGGACCAATTGCACTTGTTTTATACAAATTGATGTGTTTTTTTTTTTTAAATCATTGTTTAGCCATGAAAAAGTTAATTTTTTTTATTATGCTATACCCCTTGATTGTTGAGTTATCTGGAAATGTGCTTTTCAATTTTCTGCTGAATGTCTTTTATCTTTTAACTGAATCATGATCAGAAAATAGAATGTATTAAAAAATCAACAACTTATAGGGCAGTCATTTGCAAGAACCAACCTCTCTGATTCTAAGTCCTCAACCTAGATCTGTCGTTGGATCCTGAAGTTTCCTGTGGTCCCTAGTGACAAAGTTTTAGTCTCCACTTCCAGCTTCCTTCAGGCTTGCTTTGTCTTAGAGCTTTCTTCCCTGAGTCTGCCCAGTCACCTTGAATGAGGTTTCCCCACCCCTATGCCTTGATGAACCTATCTTAACTACACCTGCAATGATCTTATTCCAAGTGCTAGCGTTCAATGTCCTAATACTTTAACATATGTGGGGGGAGGAGCCCACGATTCAAGCCTCAACACTAATTTTTTCTCCAGAGAGATTTTATCTTCCAACAGACATAGATCATGTTGTTCTAGAGACACAGGATTTGGCTTTCTCTGTGCTGTTTCAGTGCCATATTATCAGCTTTCATTTACAGGGATATAGGAAATAATTTAATGAATATTACTATTGCATTTGCTGATTAAATTCATTAAGATGCTGTCCCATTTAATTTTTTCAGACTAAGTGCTCCAAAAATGTTTCCCTGAATAATTCATAGATTTCCTTTTAGAATCAATGAGAACAATATATTATAGCTCATTCTATACTTCTTTTTACTCTAGATGCCAGGAAAAAAAGCTTACGATTTTAGTCCTAAGTTAATTTCAATAATTTTGCAGAGTGATGCAACTACATAACTGGCTTTTTTACTTTTGCTCTAATTATCTTCATGCTGATGTTACACAGTTTTTAAATGTTTTTAATGTTATTACAAGTCATTCCCAATGGATAACATGCAGATTACAAGCTATCAACAACCATTTTCCAGTTTACATTTCCAGTGAATGACAGGAGCAGTATTCAGGCATAAAGTGAAATGCCCTAAAAGAAAGCTATGGAGGTTCCTGCACTGCAGCCTAGTGGCTAAAGTTTTTGCCTTGCATGCACCGGAAAGCCCTATGAGTGCCAGTTCATATTCCAGCATCGTCACTTCCTATGCAGCTCCCTGCTTGTGATGGGAAAGCAGTCCAGGATGGCCCAAAGCCTTGGGACCTCGGACCCACATGGGAGACCCGGAAGACGCTCCTGGCTCCTGGCTTCAGATTGGTGCAGCTCTGGACATTGCCACCACTTGGGGAGTCAATCATCAGATTAAAGAGCCTTCCTTCTGTCTCTCCTCCTCTCTGTATAGCTGATGTTCTAATAAAAAAAATTAAATATTTAAAAAATGCTATGGAAAAAAGCATAGGACTCATAAGAATTCAGATTTTAAAGTATAAGGAAAAGCAAATGAAACAAATGAGAAGTCAGGTTACTGACAATTACATTAAAAGCATCAAGAAGTAGAAAAACTGCAGAAAATTGGGCATTATGGGCAATCTATTTTAAAAACTCATGCAGAATTTAGTAGAAAATAAATGGAATGAATGTGATCAGAAAGAAAATGAAAGACAGGCCTGTAGCAAGTGGAGAACTTGATAAATGAATATCTACTGCCTTTGAAGATGTAAATGATCAAGTGGAAATGCAAACATTTACTTATAGGGTAATTCTATGTAAAATAAAACATCTTGAAATTGCATGTTGAAAAAGTTCACTATATTGTTAAGAAAATTTCATGCAAGCTTTCTTTTCATGATGTAAAAGTTCTGCATTTATCTAGGCAAAAGGGGAAATGTCAACTGCATAAACAAAGATTTTGGATAAAATGGACAGTAAATTTTTCCAGTGGCCCCCTTAGTTTAAGTCAGATACTAAATCCTTTTCTCCTTCAATATTGATTAAGCATGAATCCATTTTTTTCTTTCTTTTTTTAAAGATTTATTTTACTTTGATTGGAAAGGCAGATTTACAGAGAGAAGGCAAAGGAAAGCTTTGCTGGGTACATTATGCTGGGCCAACAATTTTTTGCTTTTAGAATCTGGAATATTTTGCTCCATCCTCTTCTGGCCTGTAGAGTTTTCTGTGGAGGTCTCCTGTGAATTTAACTGGCATTCCTTTATATGTCAATTGATTTTCTTTGGTGACACATTAGTCATTCCATATCATGTTATTTAACCTCATGGCATTGTAAATTCCTATTTTTTTATTCCTATTGTTGATTTTGTTTTGTGCTTCTTCATTTAAGGAAATGTGTAGTAACTCTGTAATAGAGACTATCATATCCAGATGTGAGGATACAACGTAGTATGCATCTCTACTTCCAGATAAAGATGGATTCCCCATGAAACTGTTTATTATATTTTGACAATGCTGGACTCTCTGCCATTGTCCATGCCCGCAATGATGAACATATGACTGTGTATGAAGAACTATACTATAGTAATAATATAAGGAACTCAGTTGGAGGGGAGGAGACCTGGGGAGGGTAGAGGGAAATCCTAGAGCATATTGAACCGTATTATAAAATGAAAATAATAATAATAAAGAAGTGCCATTTTTTAAAAAAAGAAATATCTCTGATTATATCATACTTCTGGTGCAACTTCCCAACAGATTCCTGTTTCATTCAGAGTGAAAAACTTGAGTGCTTGAATTGCCATTGAGCCCTACAGCATCTGTCCAAGGTCCAAGGGGCAGTCCTTCCATTACTCAAGGCTCCTACACCCCTACTCTCTCCACACCAACCACACTGCTGTCCTTGCTGTTTCTATTTGGAAATCCACAGCTACTTTCTTATCAGCTCCAGATCTTTCCTTGAAAGTCATCTTTTCAATGAAGTTTTCTCTGACACTGTGCTTAACATTTCAACCCATATTCTTTCTCCTTCACTCCCAACTCCCACTCTCAACTAATATTTTTATTTTAAATTAATTTATTTTTCTTGGAAGTACAGATTTATAAAGAGAAGGAAGAAGAGAAAGATCTTCCATCTGCTGGTTCACTCCCCAAATGATGCAACAGCCGGAGCTGAGCCAATCCAAAGCCAGGAGCCAGGAACTTCTGTTGTGTCTTCCACATTGATGTAGGGTCCCAAGGCTTTTGATTATCCTCTACTGCTTTCCCAAACCACAGGCAGAGAGCTGGATGGGAAATGGATCAGCTGGGACATGAACTGGTGCCCATATAGATCCTGTGTGTATAAGGTGAGGATTTAGCCACTGAGCCATCATGCTGAGCCCACAACTAGTATTTTTAATAATTCCAATATGTTAATGACTGTATTTATTTGGCTTATATTTATTAATCATATTTATTGTCTGCCTGCCTCTCTGTTAGAATATAAGTTCATAAAGGCAACAAACTTAATGTTAATATATTCATGTGTAGTAAGTGTCTAGAATGAAAAGGCACTCAAAAGATTGTCATTAACTGAACAAATAAGTACTTCTTACCCTGACAAATCCAATGCCCCTTTTCAGAAGCCTCTGCAATGTTTTGAGGTGAAAGTTTTAAGCTACTTACACATGTAACTTAAAAACAAAAAACAAAGCAATGAGTTAATTGTAGTGTGAAGGGAAAAAGTAAAGAAAGTAATTGTAATAAAATTATAAATGTTTGAATATTTAAATGCTCAGGAATTTCTAAACTGAAAGACACAAAGAAGTAGTCAGGTATTTCTGCCCACCTATAGAATCACTATGAAATGGACAGCTACAACATGAATAGTATTGGCAATAAAATGCCAAAATATACATCATTATTGCATTTATTACATCCTAGGAGAATTCAATGCAGCTTAAGACTGTGAAAAATACTATGTTGATAAGTAAAATTTACTCTAGACCAGGTGATCACAAGCAGGTTTTTCACCTACACAGTAGTACAGAGAAGTCCACAGCATGTGGGACAATCTTTGCTATCCAGGACTGTCTGGTCCATGGAAGATGCCTCCCTGGCCCCAACACCTCTTTGCAGGTAATCTTTCCCTTCCAACTGAGAAGAGCAAAGATCATGCTGGTAAATTTCCATAACAACCCACTCATCTCTATCCCAATAGCCCGTGAATTTAAAATCTAGTAACCTCTTTCTGTTATCACCTCTTGGTAGTGAGTGACCGGTTGGTGTGCTCCCAGCGCCCCCCCACCCCCGGGGGGGCTCTTCTTTCATCCTTGGTTCTGGTTTCCTTTGCAGGGTTCCCTTCCCCCCACTTCCTGCCTGGTATCCTTTTAAGATTCCACACCTCCCCTTAGCCGCTGCTACAGCTTTCTCTTCTTCTCTAGCCTGCTACTGTCCCAAGCAATACACCCTTAATTCCATTTCTATATAAAATGTCCAAAAGCACCACTCCCAAATGCTACTTGCTCATTCACACAGGTCCCCCGGCTTTGAAATCCTGTTTCCTTTTGGCTTCTTTTCTCTTACTCATAGAACCTTCTTGTTATTTTCTGCTCACAGTTTTTGTGTGTGAGCCTCCACTGCTAGTTTTCTCTTCCCTGTCCGTTCTCCAATTCACAGGTCCTTCTTTTGGTTTTACTTATCTTCTTGCTTCATAAGGATTTGTTAATCAGCCATTTGAAGAAAGTTCCGCACAGCAAGCTCCTCTTCTTACTGCATCTGTTCCCAGCCCTCCTCCTCACTCTTCCTTCCCAGCTGCTCAGAGCAGAGTTGAATAGGAAAATAAAAAGTGCAGAGTGGCTCGAGCTCCACTGGTATAGACACAGAAACGCCCTCCAACATGAACTTTTCTCTGCCTAAATCCAGAGTATTGTTTTTATAATTCCAATTCAGCGAACCAATTAGATGAAGAATGCTTCGCAAAACTAAGAGAGCTATAAAGCTCCCTGCAAGCGTCATGTGCAAACATCCGCTCTCCTTTTGCACGCCCAGGGCTTCAGCTGAATCGCTCTGGAGGAACCGAAGAGGTGTTCCAAGCAGAGAATGCCAGGTGTGTCTTCAAGGTCAAAGAACAGAGCCCTAAAGAGATGAACCTGACTCAAGAAACCTCGACTTATCAATGCCGCCCAAGTCCAGCTGAAAACTTCATCGGGGTTGTGAGGAGCAATTAAGACTGGAAGGAAGATGAAGTTAAGCTGTGAACCTCTTCCCCGCTCCTCTCAGCTGCATGGAAGTTTTTGCACCTGTCTGCCCTCACAGGACCCTCACACCCAACCTCTCGGACCCCGGGGCCCAGGGCGGACTACAACTCCCGGCGTGCCGCGCGCCAGCTCCTGGTGGGCGCGTTGCTGCCGCCGAGCTCCGCGCGGGAGGTAAGTGCTGGCCTGTGTGGCCAGGGCGAGGGTGCGCCCACGCTCTTCCCTCCCCAAGAAGAAAGGCTGCGGAAGAGCTGCCCTCGTCTCTGCTGTGTGTGCGGCGGTCCTGTCGACGGTGGCGTGGAAGTCTGTCAGCCTGAGGGGCGCCGGGGGCGCAGGTGGGCCCCACCCCGGGGGCGGCGAGGCTCGGTGGCCTCCGCCAGCGCCACGCCCCCACGCTCCCTTTCCGGGGGACAGGCTCTGCCGGGCGCCCCGAACAGAAACAGTGTGTCCTGAAACGTCGTAGCCAGAAACTTTGTCCTGGTGTTGCCGGAGCCACACACTCAGTGAAGTGCCTCTCGGCCGGTGCCGCCGCCGTTACCCACTTCGGCCGCCCCTCGCGACGCGTGGAGCTCCGGGCTGGGCGGGCGGTCCCTGTGGGACAGCACTGCGGTTCCAGGGATGTCTGCGCTAACACGGGGCAGAGTCATCTAGACACACACACACACACACACACACACACACACACACACACACACACACACACACACACACAATCAAAGGCCACACAGTCCTCCCTCCCCCGCCATGTCCCTGGGGAACCCACTCCTCTGTGTGCCCAGAAGTCTGCTCTGGAAGCCCGACGCTGGCTGTCTTCAAGTAGCGCAGTCCATGCTGAGCCCGCTCAGAGGTTTTGTTGAAGTAGCCCACTGCCCCCATAAACACCGCTCACACTACACGCCTTACAACCATGCATATAGCACACGCATGGGACACACCCCATAGCAGACATGTGACACCCACATACCATTCCTTCTCTCGAACAGGAGTGTTTTGTGAATGGTCTGTGCAGGACGTGAAGAGGGGGAGTGGGTGAGTGTACTGGTGAATGTATATTCACAAATGAAAAATTATTATCAAAGTTAGAACTTAGCTACTTAGCTAACCGGTGGAACCTCCTGTTATTATATAATGTAGTTGGCCTTTGATGCTGATTTTTTATAACATGGGAGTGGTTTTCTTACAGCACCAAACACTTGCTCACCAAACTTTTGATCGCAGCAGGCAAGGTGGAAAGAGATCATCCTTTGCTCCCTGTAGGAACAAATACTTGGAAGAGTTTCACAGGGTCCTCTCTCCCGTGTGTCTGAGGAAGGGTGAGGTCCAACTACTTTGTGTTTGCCCCCGCTCCTGAGAAAGAGAAGTGAGCCAAACAGCATTTGTTCTGAGCCATGCCATCAGGGCACTCTCCTCCCCTTCTTATGCCAGCCACTTCTACTTATATTTGGCTGACGCTTAGTTCAGGAAAATTCTATAAGGTACAAAAGTTTTGTAAAAATCTCTTGGTGATACACCCCTCTATTGCCCCAGTAGCCCATGGTTTTCATCAGCTGTGATGAACCACTCATCCTCCAAAAAAAAAAAAAAAAAAAATGGCCCTCAAAAATATTTAAGTAGTTAGAATGAATCTCTGAGTTGTTATTTGCATTTTCATGGAGGCAATAGCAAAGCTGGTTAGAACAATTAAAAGTCTTTGCCAGTCACAATCTTTGAAAATGCTGAAGATTGCTGATATCACTCCTGGAACAAGTTAAAATGGAAAAATAATGTTTTGAAATTCAGGTTCCAATTTTAGTTTATTAGTGGATGCTCTAGTACCCTTAAAGAAGTAGTAAAAAAAAAAAAAGTAGTAAAGTAGTAGAGAATGAAGCAGCCACTGTGCTGCTCATTTTGGCCTAAAGTCCTTAGATCATTATAGAAGCAAAGGTTTTGCAGGATCCTTCTGGGAACCAGCATTCTCTGGGAACCAGTATTGTTGGTATGTTGACCTAAAAGTGTCCTAAAGTGCTTGCATGTGTGCACACTCACCCCATATTTTCAGTGTATGCACAGAGCAGTTTGCAGTTTATGGAACAGAAATGTTGTCCTCCAGCAGTGGTTCCAGACCAAGCACAGGAACTGTGAGGCTGACCAGGAGAGCTGAAAAGATCTTGCCCAGGCTCTGTGCTCCTCCCAGTTTCCTGAGTTGTTGATTTAGGCTGCTGGTGGGAAAGACTGAATTTAGGAGTTGGCACCCTGTCGTCTTATTCATATGTAACTCATACAGTCCCAGGTGCTGATGGGTCAGGAGATGTATGAAGTAATGCTTTATTTGTGCAATTTGGATATAAACAGTTAAAATTAAAACTACCAGAACTAATTGTTTTCACTTTGTAGAATATGGTTTTGTTTATTTCAGTTTGAATTTTGACTGGCTTTGCTGGATAGGACAAATGCCAAAATGAAGGAATGTGGGTATTTGGGGAGATCTGGTAATCTATTTTGCATGCTCTCTGAAATATGCTACTTCCTGCATAATGGAGAGAAAGGATTTGCTGCTGGGCAGTGCTTTCCTTACTCTCACAAAGAGATTACTTCAAAGCCAGCCCTGGGAACTTTGTCCACAAATCTCTATTAGGAAATAAAAATGGACAAGGAATCACAGCTTCTGAGTGTTCATTGAGTATAGTGCATAAGCACTACCTTCTCTTTCCTCTATGAAAAAGAAATAGTCTGATATATGATATTCATGCCCAGAAAAAAGAAAGTAAAGGCATATGCAGCAACAATAAAGGGAGGGAGAAAATAAGAGGCTATTGAGACTGCTTGGTTCTCTTTGTCTAAAACAGGTGCACGGAGGGAGAATTCTGCAGTTTGGGAGTTGCAATTCAATCACTTCCACTAATTGTGCTGAAGGTAGTTAGTAAAAGTGAGCAGGCACACTGTAGCTTTAAAAAGTCAGCCATGAACCAGAAAGCAGTTGGTGCAGCTTGTGTGTGATTCCTAACGTCATGTTGGCTGAGAGCCAGCCTGGTTTTATTTCACTGTGTCAAATTGTACCTCCTTATTGAATTCCTTTGCCAGCCTACTTTGTGAAAGAAAACATTGGGGTTTCTTTGGCTGTTCTTGATAAGCCTATAAAAAATGACATATTTTAGTTGCTTATAGGTAGGTTTTCTTTTTACTCTTCCACCAAAAAAAGAGAGAAAATAGTAATAATAAGACAATGTAGAGTGATGTTGCAGAGTGTCAGTGTGAGTGTTTTGTTTTGTTTTGTGAGATGCTTAGAAAATGGTGAATGTGTAACAGTTTCCAACTGGTGTGAAATCATTCTGGTAGCCTAGAAAAGCATCACTCTGTTTGTGTCTACTCTAACGGTGTGTGAACCAATGCTAATATCTATGTGTGTATTAAATGTTGCTTTCTCTAGCAATATTCTAAGTGGCTTAGCAACTGGAAGTTTGTGTGTATGTTTCAGGAGTAAAGATTAGTGCACACTTACAGTGTTATTTGCTAATCATCTAATTCTCTAACAGTGATAAAATCTTGTGAATATACTAAATGATGCACTTGCCATGTCAGAGTAATCCCAGGAGGAGTGCCGAAGTATGAAGTGATTGGAGAGCAAATGTGTTTAATTTATGGCTTCAGCTGAATAACAGAAAACACGTTTCAGGACTAGTTTTTTTGTTGTTGTTGTTTTTCTTTTTGCAGTTTTGTTTGTAGTGTTTTTATCTTGCTAGTTGCATATTGATTGTAGAGGACTTTTGTTTTTCACAGGATTTTAATATTTTTCCTCATTCTACTAAACAAAAAGACTGATGGATGCTACTATCTCTCTTTAGATGTCTTGATGATTTTACATAAATCCAGCGAGTTGTCTAGGCTCTCATACACACACACACACACACACACACACACACACACACACACACACACACACAGCATCACCTCAGACACACACAGCATCACCTTTCTGTTCTTGGGGCTGGCTGGCATATTTGTGACCTTCCTGCATTAGCACAGCATGGCCATCTCACGGAGGGGTTTTAGAGGCTTTGCTTGTGAATATGTGAGGTGGGGAATACTTGCAGACAAAAGCTTTACGTGCCCTTCTGCATGGCAATGGAAAAATGTAGGAACTGGAGAAGTGGGGGAGAAATACAATAGGAAAAGAAAAACCACAGCCCGCTGCGGGAGGGGGAGGAGAGCCAGGATTGTTTTTCTGTACTTTTGACTCGTTTCTGAGTTGCAATGTCTTAAGTACGAGCTTGGCACCCAGTGGAAGCTGTGCCAGTTCACACAGCACTTGTTTTGAAGGAGGATTCAGTTTCATTTGCAAATGCTTATTGTCAGGGCAAGCAGTGCCAGTGCAGATGAAAGCACCCCAATCCGTCTCCTCCGGTCCTTTAGGTTTAATCGCATGTCTCCAATCGCTGAGGGAACTGGAGGTTTAAACAAACATACATGAACTGGTGTGAAGCTGTAAAAGAAACCATTATGTTTCCGACTCAGAATATCTATTCTTCTCTCACTTTCTAAGAATTAAACACAAGCTTTTCTCCCTTATTGATTAGTTGCTGAAGTAAAGGAACCCTGCAGCCTTCCCATGCTATCTGTTGACATGGAAAACAAGGAAAATGGCTCTGGCGGTGTGAAAAAGTAAGTGAAGCTGGCTTCTGAGTTCTGCTTCTGCAGACCACAGAGGGACTCGGTTTCTACTTTGATACTTTTTGCTTAGCTACTAAAATACAGTTTGGGGGTTGTCTTGGTTTGTCTACACTGGCCACCAGCCTCACTTCTCCCCCCAACCCCACCCAGTTGCCTTTTTCTGTCTTCCATTTCCAAGACATGATGTCTCAGACATGAGAAAGTGCCTGGAAGGTGAGCTTTATCAGGCTTTGGAAACGGGGTTGGGGATTTCAACCCTGCATTCTGTCTACTGCAGCGAAACAAACAAAAACAAACAAACAGGTCAAGCGGAGGAGACTGCCTTCTAAGTCCTTACTTAGGCTACCAGGGTGGGGATAGAAGATGGAGTTTGAAATTTTTTTAGAAATAAAATCACTTGTCACTCTCAAAACTAATGTGAAGGGAAGGAAAAAGCTTCATTAAACATACTAAATTTAACAACTTCTCTGTTGCTGTTCCCTTTTTAATCTGTGTTCTCACATTTGCAATCTCTGATAATGCTTGTGTTTGTTGTGGAGGAAGTATAAGCTTGGTTTTTCTAAACAGAAAATTCTGTTGCATTGTATAGCACAGTACTCTGAAACCAAAAAAAAGCCAACTTTCAAGAAGTCCATGAGTCAATGTAGGAAGCATGTATTCTAATTTAGAAGTTATGTCTAAGCTATCACTACTTTGATAATAAGGATAAAGAAAGTTCCAGGAGAATGTTATCTGTTTCATTTTTTTTTCCTGTGTCATTTAGTTTAAGATTGCTGTAAAGTTGAGCTGTGACGGAAACTAATTGAATGTAATCTGTAGAAGCTGTGATATTTAAATGAGACAATGTGCTATATGTTCATGCATAGAAAGTATAGTTTGTTTCACAGCAAAGTTACATTAAAATTAATAAAATCTTTTTTTTTAAATTCTTGGGCAGTTTATATGTCAGTACAATTTTTTTGTTTTCCTCAAATGATTTCAGATTTGAAAGTTTCAGTGTTCTGTAGTGCAGGGTTTAAGGTGTTGTCCTTAGTCCCATTCTTGTTGTTTGGCATAAGTAGATGTAAGGAGAAATGGCTTGAGTGAGCTACAGCTGTGCTGTGTGGTAGTACTTGCTACAACCATAGGCATGTTCTGTGCGTGGGCTTTCTAAAACAGTAGCTACTGACCAGGTGAGGCTATTAAGCCCTTGAAATATGACTAGTGTAACAGATTAACTAAATTATAGATTTTACTTATTTTCAAACTGTTTTAAAGTGAACAGGATTTTTAGTGTAATGAGTATATGAATTTTATGTGTTTAAAGCATAAACTGGTGATTTTTGTATTTATGTATGTCTGTCAGATCATGTCCATAATAAAGATAGTGAACACATCAATTATGCCCAAAGTTTTCTTATAGTCTGTTAGAGTCTCTTCATCTTCTTTCCTGCCACCATATCTCTAAGCAACCATTGTTGTGCTGTCATTGTAGTTTGCTTTTTCTAGATCTTTGTAAAAATAAGTGCATAATTGAATTTATGTATATGATTACATGTGTATCATACACACAAACCTACATAAAGGAGCTTCAAAAAGATCATGGAAAATGGAATTAAAAGATAAATGTGCATTTTCCATGGCCTTTTTCAAGCCACTGTGTGTTTATGTGTATATATGTCCATGGGGGAGGATTTGGTGTCCTTCACTTAGCAAAATTAATTTGATATTTGATATTAGTTCATAATTTTTTATTACTGAATACTTTTCCATTATATGAAGTTTTGACTTTTTAAAAACTATTTAGCCATCTGCATGATGGTAGACATTTGGATTGTTTCTGTATTTTCAGCTATTACAAATAAAACTGCTTTGATAATCATGTACAGGTTCCTGTGTATATGTATACTTTCATTCCTTTTCCCATCAATGCTCACAGGTAGAATTGGTTGCTCGGAATGGTAGATGTATGCTTACTTCTTAAGACTTTGGTTTTCCAAACTGATTGCATCTTTTCCATTCCCACCAACAATGTGAGAGTGCTCCTGTGGTTCCATGCTCTCCCAAACTTGGCATAAGCAGTCTTTTTCTATTACACGTTGTATTACATTCTTTTCAACTTTATTTTCTTAATAACCAATAGTATTGAACATCTTCTTTGTATACTTACTTTCCATCCTTGCATCTTCCTTGATAAAGTATTGTTCAACTTTTTAAAATCATTTTTCCTGCATTAGCTTTTTCCATGTTTGTCATGTTATGAGTGCAACTCTTCCATCATATAGATAAGTTCTTTCCATAATTAGCTAATCTTTTTGTTCTGTCTATAGTGTTGTTGAAAGTGCAGATGTTTTTAAATTTTGGTGAAGTCTCATTTATTAAGTTTTTCTTTTACGGTTATTGCTTTTGGTATCATAGCTAAGACATTTAGCTAATCCAAGGTCACAGTGGTTTTCTTGTTTAGCACTGTGTATTTTCGTTTAACTTTCGTTAGCTAAAGATTAAATTGTTTCTGTTGCTGTGGTAGTAATAGTGTTTTGTTTCATTCTCTTTGCTATGAATATCTAATTTTTCCAGTACCATTAGTTCAAAAATTAACTTTGTTAAAAATAATCATATGTATTTTAATTTCTTTCTAGACTTGACCATAGTCCACTAATCATATATTTATGCCAGCACACACTATTTCGATAACTGTGGCTTTGAAAACTACAGCCTGAAATCAGGTTGTAGTTTTTCACACAGTGTTCTTCCTTTTTCAAGATTATTTTGGTTCTTTGCTTTCCATATTAATTTTAGACTCATCAATTTCCACCAAAATACATACATACATACATACATACATACTTACTTACTTACACCCATACATAAAACACCTGATGGCATTTCAGTTGGCATTGACATATATCAGTCTGGGAAGACTTCAAATGTTAACACTACTATATCTTCCAAAAACGGAGCATAGCATAGCTCCATTTACTTAAATCTTTACTATCCCACAGTGATTTCGAATTGTTTTTAGTGTGTAGGTATTACATGCATTTGACATATGCATCCCTGGACAAATTTCATGTTCTTGATGCTTTTATAGATAATGCTGCTTTTTGAACTTGAATTTCTAATTATTCATTTCTACATAGTGTTTAGAAATCCAACCTAATTTCCTCTATAGTTCAATATCTTACAATCTTGTTAAACTTAGTTGTGACGTACAGTAGCTTTTTTGTAGATTCTTCTTACAATAGAAATAGTTATGTCTTATAAATTAAGGTAGTTTTAGTTCTTTTTTCCTTTTCTCTATGCCTTCTATTTTTTTCCTTTCTTGCTGCACCAAAGAGAATCTCCAGTAAAATGTTGAAAATAGTGGTGAGAACCAGCATGCTTGATTTGTGCCTCATCTTCATCTTTAAAAAAAGGAAGAGACACAGAAAGGAATATCTTCCATCTGATGATATACTCTCCAAGTGACTGCAGTGGTACTGCTCAGATCTGAAGCCAGGAGCCAGGAACTTCCTCTAGGTTTCCCATGCAGGTGCAGCATCTCAAGGCTTTGGCCCATCCTCAACTGCTTTCCCAGGCCACAAGCAGGAAGCTGGATGGGAAGTGGAGCTGCCAGGATTAGAACCTGTGCTCATATGGAATCCCAGTGCATTCAAGCCAAGGATTTTAGCCACTAGGCCACCACTGTGGGCCCTAATCTTCATCTTTCACTTGTTATTTGTTTTTTTCTTTTTGTTTTCTCTCTGCCTAAAATGTTTCCTTCTTTATCACTGGCTTTTGAAGCAATTCATCATGAGACTTGATGACATTGTCTTTGTTCCTGTGATGGGTTTTACTTTGTTTCTGGGATTTAAGTGTTTGCCTAGCTTTTATTAAATCTGGAAATTTGGGGGCATTATTTTTCAGATAATATTTGTCTCCTTTCTCCTTTAGGGGTTCCAGTCTTATGTATATTTAATTGCTTGCCCAGTATTTTACTAATGTTCTGTTAAATTTCTCTCTTTTATCTCTGTTTTATATTTGGATAGTTGTTTATTGCTTTACATTGATGTTCTTCTAAAATTTCTCATCCCTTGTTAATTCCATCCAATGTGTTTTTCATTTTATACAATGTAGTTTTCATCTCCAGATCCTTAGCTCGGCATGTTTTACATGTTTGGCTTCAATGTTTCTATTTAATACACTGAAATTTCTCTGTATATTTTAAAAATATTTTTTGAAATCAGAATGACAAAGAGGGAGACGGATTTTCTTTTTGAAGATTTACTCCCCAAATGGCCACAAAGGCCAGGGCTAGGCTGACGTGTTGAGTTAAAAATCTATACCAGGAGCCAGCACAGTGGGATAGTAAATTAATCTGCTGGCAGTTCTGTTACCCCCAGATGGGTACAGGTTCATGTCCTGGCTGTTCCACTTGTGATCCAGCTCCCTGCTTATGGCCTGAGTAGCAGCAGAAAATGGCTTAAGTCCTTTACCCAACACTCAAATGGGAAACCCAGAGAAGACTCTTGGCTTCAGATCAGCTCAGTTCAAGTGGTTGTGCCATTCATTTTGGAAACTGAACCAACAGAGGAAGGATCTTTCTCTTTATCTCTGCTGTCTGCTTATCTCCTTTCTCTTTATCTCCTCTGTATATAAAAATCTACCTTTCAAATAAAAATAAATAAATCTTTAAAAAAGATTAATTTATTCCAGTTTCCCATGTGGTTGACAGGGACCCAAGTACTTCAGTCATCTTCTTCTGTCTTCTCAGGCACAGTAGCAATGAGTTAGACAGAACAGAATAATCATAACTTAAGCTGGCACTCCAGATTGCAATGCTGTCATAGGAAACTACTTAACTGACTGCCACAATGCCTACCCATGTTCTATTTAAAAAAAAAAACAGTAATAACTGTAATTTCAGCATTTCTTGGAGTAAATTCTACCATTTGTATCATAGTTTCAACCGACTGTTTTTTCTTCTGTCTCTTATATTTTCCTATTTTTTTCACATGCCTGCTAATTTTTGA